AGGTGAAACATGAGCACTTGGCTACACAAACAAAAACATTTACATTTAGAAAATCATTTCTGTTGGGAATAAAAGAATCAGATTCCAATAAGTTAGCAATTAATTTTCCTATTTTTTTTTTTAATCTGTAATGATGATTCTATCACATTCCACATTTCTGAGGCAGTTTTGCTTTTAACTATTGTGTCCCAAGCATCTTGATGAGGCCAGTCAAAAGAATAAAACTTTTAAACCAATATGCATGGAAGTCTGCTGCTTACATACAGATTAGGATATAACTAGTCAATACAAACAAATGTGATTTTCTGAATAAATGCCCTGAAATGTAAGACTTTTACTGCTTCAAATCTGAAAACTCAATCATGCCCAATGCAGTATTTCATTGTTATTTCTAATACAGGCTTTTTAATATTCAGAGAAAAATGCAAAAGCTATAAAATCCCTCCACCTTTAATACATGGTCACAATAGGAAGTTCACTCCTGTTTCTAAAATGACCAGTGAGATCTGCACTAGAATAGCTTGTGTAGTCTGAAGCACTCCTAATTCTCTGTAAAAACCAGGTGGTGGCAACTTCTCTACTAAGGAAATAGTCTGGTTTTTGTACAACTTACTTGTTCAATTGATATTTCATACTAAAAATCAAAAAGCTACTTAACACATAGAAAAGGGATGACCCAGACACCATCAGATGAGGAAAGGCAGTGTGGGGACATGTAACCCACAAAGGTACAGCACTCTGTGATGGGAAGAAGGATAGAAATAACCATTGGGATTTTAGAACTGCAGCTTTAACCCTGCTATGAAAGAAACCACAAGCAGGCTTTAAGATGCACTATGAACCACTGAAGTAACTGTCAGGGACCTAACACTATTTTGGCTTAAGCCTCGAAAACAAGAGAAATAATCGGATTAAGCAGATTTGAAATAATGGTTTGTGTTCTTGACTGTACAGTCATTTCTCACATAATATTGCATAAGGATGAAACACAGTAACTTAAACTGCTTCCATGCTAATATTTCCAAATCAGACAGTTTCCTCAGGTCACCCTTTGTAAAATGGCAAGAGCACTGCCCTGTGCCTCTAAGTAATTCTGCCTAAGTAAGTCCATGAATACACGCACTGAGACACAGACAAGAATTATGAATTGAGAAAACCCATTAGCAGACAACACCTGCTGGAAGTGGGTGCTTTGAGCTAGGTCCCAGAACTGTCTGTTTGCCCATGGAAAAGCACATGTCTCAAGACACATCACTTCCCACATGGCTCAGAGCTCAGCTGCGAGCTATGCCAGGATCACCGCAGGCAGCAAGGAACCTCTCATCCTGGAGAATTCTGTCCATGGCACAAGAATGACCTCAGAAGCTGCACACTTCCATCCCTTACCTTAAAGCTTTAAGCCAACACAACTGACCAGCAAAGGCTGGAATGGGGGAAACCTCAAGTGGAAACATGATTTTTCTCTTCTCCCTGAAGTGAGTAATGGCTCACTTTTTAAGGGGTTAGCAATACCAGCCATCCAAGGGCGTTGGATATAAGCAACATTGGTGCAGAGTGCTGAGAACCAGAGTAATCCTGTGACAATTATTTTCACAGCACTGTTTCTTTTTCAGTCCAGTGTTTCTCTTAAGCAGCACAAGGTAGTTAAAATGGCTCTGTGGGACCACTGCTCTTCTCTGTTGCAGACATCAGGTGCAAGTGTAAATAAGGATTATACAAATGTGAGGTCGTTAAAAGTCTGGTAATGCTAATTTGGCATGACACCCCTAATGGGTTATATCTTCACACTTCAGTTATCTAATCACCTAAATTCTTTTAACAAATTTACATTTCATCTTATACATGGAGATTCAAATTGACTTGTTTAATTCTCCCTCTACCCAAACTGTACCCATGCTCAGTTCATCTTATATATTACATATCATCATCAATTTTGAGATCCTGATCATCAGCTACATATACACAGAGATAATACAACTGTACATGTCTATATACTTTGGCATAAAAAGCTTGCCCTGTTTCTAAGTGTCTCTTTTTTTTAAAACAAACTTTTCAGATCTCAGGAGAACCACAAATACATGTATGCATCATCAGAGAGCATCTCGGCTTGAAATTGACTTTGTTGATACAATACTTCCATTCTACTAGGAGAAGTGAAAGGGAATGAAGTGACTTTTAAACCAATAATTTAAATGTCATGTTTCAATCTATTTCCAGATCCACGTTTTGCAACTTTGTTTTCCTGTTTAGTATAAAAAGTTAATGTGGAGCTGTTCACTTTTCCTGGTTTGGTCAGGCAAAGTAACACCATAAGGAAAAAAGTTTTAAACTGTTCACACTTTTTACATAACACCAAAATTTTATTTTACATGGAAGGTTTAATGTTCCAGTTAGAACATTCCCCTTGCACAGACTTCCATTTTCTTCAATCAGAGTCCTCATGAACTAAATGTGAACTAAACAAATGCAGGAAACCCCCACATGGATTGTATTAAGATAAAGCTAAAGTCACTGCTGTGATAACTACGCTTGCATATGGAACAAAGAACCATATTTAACTAGAGAGCTGGCTGCCTAACAGTCCACTCTTGATGACAACATGCTACTAGGAAATCAATATATTCTTGTGTATTTTAATATGCAAATTCACTTCCCTACATGTGCCACTGGGATGCTTCTTTTCCTTTGTTATGAACACAAGCCAAACAGAATCCAGTGGAGCCAATACAGTTAGTTCTCCATTTTCCTCATGCAGACCTGAGGTAATTACACAGAAGTCTGTTGATTTACACAATAATTGAATGCTGACTTCTGACATAGATTTTGAACTAGTAGATGACCAGTGTTAAGAAAACATAACTTAAGTGTTAAGAAAACACTTAAGTGCACAAAGTTGGAAGAAAGCACATGCTTAAAAGATCACCTGAATTCTTTTCAGGAATTCTGAATTCTTTTCAGACTCCTTCCTGAAGTGAGAGTTTACATAACAACTTTAAATGGCAGCAAGAAAAGCTGAATACCTTCAGGACATCAAGAATGGTTCATTTGTTTCAAAATGTTATTTTTAACACACCATATGAAGAACAGCCAAGTGTGACCATTAGCTCCTGTGTAACTACATGTATACAAAATGAGAGAGTTTTGTTTTCTGATTGGCTTCTTCACTATAATATATTTTTCCATCAGCAGTAAGATATTTCCAATTTGTATTTAAACTAATCTGTTTTATATAGATTTTTTTAAATATCCTTGAGTGGATAGTAGGCTTGTTCTTTTTCTCCTTTTCCACGAGGATGAATTCAAATAGCAATGAAGTATTGTGGTAGTATTACACAAAGGGTGGCAAGATGCTTTTTTTTTTTTTTTTTAAACTGTGTGTCCATGAGGAAGACGAGGGAATAAAGGGAGAGAGGAAAGAGATGGGTACATCACACTTCTAGTGGAAGTTAACAAGTATAAGCAGAACTTTTGCATGTTAGGAATCATGAGACTCTTGTTGAAGGTATGAAAAACACGTATGCTAAGAGTCACACAAAACCAACATAGCAGCTACTTGCTCTCCAGTCTAATCTCAGTGCTCTATATAGTTGCTAATTTCCACATTTTTTTTAAATGGTACGGAGACATCTACCTCCTCCACACAAACTGCAACCAGCCAGTTGGACTTGCTGCAAAGTTCTTGGTGGGGGAACAGATACACAGATAATCAATGCAGGCCTTGCGTCCTACAGTGTCCTGGCAGGTTAAGTCTAGATGGGGTAGATGGACTGGGGCATTAGCAGGACTTCACACCTGGAGATGTCCTTGAACTGAACCCAGCCACGACAGGTTATCATTAGTGATCATCCTTTGCTGTAGGTTGAACGTAGAAGACACTAACAAGGTCACCCAAGCTACATCATCTTGGCTTTACACAGGCACACATCCTTCTTTCAGCAAAAAGAAACGTTTGGCTTACGCAGATAATAGCTGCAGCCTGACTTCTATGATGGAAACCACAGATAAGTTAAAAATAAGCATGAACAGGATTGAAAAAGTCAGCACAGCATCAGTCTTACACGAAATACTCATGGTGAAACGTGGGAGCAAGAAACTTACAGTGTCTGAGGTTTTTAGGTTCTGTGTGATGGCAGCTACCCTCTCCTGCTCTACAATGTACTAAAATCTTCCAAGTCTTAAAATACACAATGCTACACAGATGCAAAGCTACAGACACTTAAGCTAGATGTACAAAGGACATGGAGTAATGCATTGAAATTTGATTATCTGAAGTGAACTTTCCCCCATAACTCCCCTTTCAATTTCACAACATATTAAAAAAAAACCCTTCACAATCTTTAAAAGAATCTTTAGAATCATTAAAAGAAGGTAAGACAAAGATTTTATATCGTCATATGATATGTGCTCAGTGGTTATAATTCTGCACTTGAATGCTGAGCTTCATTTAACATCTTGCGGTAACAACCCAGTGGGGAAAAAAAAAAAACAAAACCCAAAACAACACAAAACCAACAAAACCAGCAATAAACAAAAAAGCAAAAAGCTTTTTTTCTGAGCTGTTTGGCCACCCTACGGTAGGAAGCGGCTGCACACCTCCAACTTCTATTAATGCTGGTGATAGTGAAGAACCTTATCCCATCTCACCAGACTGTCACCAGCATTTCTAATATCGAGGCTCATTTACAGCTTTACTTTGCAATCCCTTCACTCCCAGTAAGTGTTTAGCATGCTTATAAGCACACAGAGTGCTACTTCTGGCTCTAAACTACAGTGGAACATGATGGAATGAAATAAGCTGCTCGTCTCAGTTGCTCTTGCTCCTAGAAAGTATTTGTTTATCTAGGGCCAATCGCTGCTCCCGTGTCCATGTAATGACTTCCTCATAGCAGTCAGAGATTACCCACACCGCTGATCACTTTATTACTTAGAATGGCTGTTTATTTACCTTAGTGCAGCAGTAACATGCAGGGATAAAGCTTGTCACAGCTGGGCAAACTCACCATATTCCTTACGCAGGTGGTCTGGAATGTGGGGCTCATAACCTTCCTTCTCAGGGACCTCCACAAATTCATCTTCATCCTCGTCGTCATCATCGTCATCCGAGGCTTTCATCTACAGAGATATTGTTTTGGTCTTTTTTTTTTTTTTTTAAATGTGAAGACTGCTTTTCATTTCCCTTCACAGTGAAAATATTTTACAGACGTTTTGATAGCCCTACTGAGACTGCTCTATGTCAAAAGTATTTCCCTAATTATGTATTTAATCTTGATCTAAGATTAGGCCTTTGCTTAACATTTTATCTCTAAAGCCATACTCTGTCCTAAGGGCTTCTTTAAAGCCCCTTTTATCCATTAGAACACTTGCAGTTGGTGAAGTCTGAGAAAGTGTGAAGCTATAAGACAAGAACAAAAAAATCTTAAAATAACATCAAGATTTTGACTTAATGAGGAAATTACAGCCATATCTCGTTTCCTTAGGTTGACTTTAGCTGCACCTAGTTTGTGGTCTGTTAAATAATGTCACAACTGGTTAAAAGCTCAAAACCAGAGCGGGCAAACAGAAGGAGAAGGTGATGGACTGGCAAGCTAATACTAACCAAAGTAAGAAGATAATACAGATCTGTGTACTACAGCATTTCACTGTGTTTCATCATGACACCTCTAAAAATAATCTGATACACTTATTTCTTTAATTTGGTACATCCTAACCATTCACACTGTTAGCCTGCACAGACTGCTATGGTCTAAACCAACAAAATAGGATGTTTTAAATGTGCACTTGGTCTACATTGCAGTCTGAAACTGAATATCTATGACTAAATGAAAAATAAAAACAGAGTTCCTAATCAAGGCAATTCATTAATGTAAAAGGGTTCTTCTGTTTCATTTCAGCTAGGTACTACTCTGCATGTGCCAGCAAGTCTCTACTTTTTTTTTTTCTAAGCTTGTTTCATAGCTGAAATGAGTTTTTTCTTCTATACTACACATAAGCTAAAAGAATCTGTGCTACCTCAGACATGGCCTATACTATCAAAACTTTAAAACAGCAAATGCCAAATACACTAAAAAGGCAGCAATGATGGAGGCTTGATTTCCTTTGCTCACCTTGGCAGTCACCTAATTCTGAAAAACAACACAATTAGCACATCACTGTATGCTTGTCATGCACCTTTACAAGTTTAGGAAACAATAAGGGTATCCACTAAAACCAGCCTCACCACAGGCTATCACTTTTTCAACTTCACTGCAGCAAGCCAAAGCAGTAGATAAGGAATTGTACCATTTTTACTATTTGCAGCCACATTCTTTACTTCTCTTATTGCACCTGACTTACATTGATATTCATATCAACTACCCATGGCTACAAGCACCGGAGGATACTGCAGGTTTTGCCTGCAGCAGAATTTTCCCAATTTAATTCACTGCTCTAATCGTGTGTCACACAGCTGCACAGCTGAGTTCCTTTAAACCATACACATACTCTGAAGCCAAAAACCCTAGAAATCAACCTTGGTTTACTGAATGCAGTTAAAAATTTAAAATAAATCATTAAAAAATGAGCATTTCTTTTTGGTCAGTACTACTTGTAAGCTGGACTGAACAGATTTCTAACAAAGATCATTAATTGATATTAATACACATTTATACACTTTAACATATAACGAATGGATGGTAAAAGTTAGAAGTACAATTCTTTCCTTTGTTTAAAAAAATTACTTAGACTTAGGAAGGCTGCAGTTCCAGTGGAAAAAAAGAAAAAAGATTTACTGTCCTGAAGAATAGATTTACTACTGCATTCTTACCAGAGAACACCTAATCAGTCAATTTTAAAATAAAGTTTCACCATAATCATGCTGAAAAGTACCCTGCTGCCAAAGATAGGTAACAACCACAACTTAGTCCCTCCAGCCCTATGACCACTACCTGGAGAGCTGACAGAGCTGCCAACCTCCAGGCTATGCTGGAGGCTCCTGCACCCTAGGATTTTTGTTTCCCCACTGCAATCACTTTCCCTTTTCTGAAGGAAAGAAGGAATTCATTCCTTACCCAGCATGGCCAAGACAGATGCATGCTGAACCTGACCTCCACAGCAGAAACCAAAATAGAGTTCTAACGCAAAGGGTCAAATATTCTACCACTAACCACAAACTTGCAAAGGCACTAGACATGAAAGAACACCTGTGTTACACTGCAACCTTTAGAAGACCTTCCCAATGGCCGTTAGAAAGAAAAACATCATCAGGTTTTGTCCTCTGCACAATGAAAGGCTAGAGATTGAAGAGAGGTCAGTTTGTATTTTGGTTTCAAAATTCTGCTGGTGTTGTCATCCCTTCTTTAGCTTAGAGGGGGCTGTTTAATAAGTTCAGAAATAAAACCCACTTCTAATTCTCTAGCTAGAAGCAGCACAACATCATATTTTCCACTTTAGCTATGAAAAAAAAAAGACTTTGCCAAGCTAAAACTTACCATAGATGATCCTCATCTACAGCTTTCTGCCACGGTGTAAAAGCTGACTTACTTTCACATTATAAAACATGGAAAGTAAATTCAATATTTCCACAGCTTTTACTCAGGAGTACTTTGTAAACAAATAAACAGCAACAGGTTTAAGGAATTGAGAAATAATGTCAAACTAGTAAAAGAAAGAAAACTCAGTTCAGACCCATCATTTAACTTAAATTGACAGATTACACCTGAAGTATCCGTGGGTATAGTCCAGGCACTCACGCGCATGGCATATCTGAGAGGACCAGAAAGAGTTCAGCAGAGTACTATCTTTAATTGAAATTTCTCCCAATTTGTTCACGTGTTGCTGGAGGCACGTAGCTCTCTGTACATTAATATACTAAAAATTCTCTGGGCTTCATTAATCCTCAACTTGAAAACTGCTTTAAAAGCAACTTTGCTGTACTACCTGCATGGCCTAAAACTTTAAAGCACGTGAAAAGCCTGGCAGAGAAAAGGCATAATCAGATGCAAATTCACTTTGTTTAGGTACAACCCATGAACTGTGCATTCAAGTACTATAGAAAACATTAATCATAAGAAACTGTAATTTTTGTTATCAGTCTAACACTAATCAAAAGGGAAACCTGTCACTACCGCTGACCTGTGAAACGTCCCAATTATACTCTTTGGAAATGACAGGAGCACTTAACTTCCTCACTGAGTAAATGACGACGATCAATCAAGTTTGAATAACAATGAGCCACGGAGCTGAAAATTATTTTTTGTATAGAATCTACCCAGGAATTTATGAAAGGTGAAAAGCAACCCAAGGTTTTAGGGGCATTATGGCTTTCAGCTAGTGCAGTGCATATCAAACACTAAACAGAATTTATGTGTTTTAATTTTCTAAAAGGTAGATGTGGACTTGGTGCTACAATGCATAACATATAGTGCCAGATTTTAAATATGGGGGTCATTTTCATAAAATATTATGCTTATTGTTCACACCCTTGAATTTCCCTGGGGTCTTCTATTAAATTTAGATTTCCTGTAAGAAAAATTAACTGCTTAGCTAACTATAAGGAATTAAGCCTCCTTTTTCCTTCAAACAAACAAAGTCTTTTATTTTTATATAATTTTTAACAAGATAACTTGTTTTCTTTCTACTTTAAAATATTGAAGTAATCACTGGTGAAAATCCAAAAAGTTGCATGGCAGTAGTAGGTGCTTGTATCTCAATTTACTTAATTCCAGTGGTACTTCATCAGAACTATCCCATTTATGCTGGTTTGTTCCATTCTCTTTTGACAGAAAGGAGGAGAGCTCATGGGCAACGTTATTAGTCAGAAAAGTATAGTTTATTTTTTTTTTTTTAATTTCACTTTTCAAATATGAAGAAAGCTCCAAAGCAAGCTCTACAGAAGCAGTATGAAAGTTCAGCTGCCTATTTTCTACTTTTCTACTATAGGCAAACTTTTTTTCAGTCAATTCAAAAAACCCCAACACATTTCAATCAGAATAAATAAATATTTAAGACAACGTATTGAGTGGCAGAATTAGCAAATTATAAGCTTTTAGGAAAGAGTTGTTAGGAACGTGCAAACAAGAGGAACAAGAATATATAAAACCAAGCAATGTGCCGTTTCTAGTGTGCCATGTCTCAAGTATAAGCTCAAGTGATAAATACTACAACTCAAAGCTTTTCTTGTAGTGTACAGAATTAAGTACATCTGAGATAAGTAGTCACATAACTGCTTGTTTCTCAATAACCTGTCAAAGGATGTGGGGAAAAAAAGGTCCTGTTCTCAAATCTGTTCTCATTATCAGGTGATAGGAGGAAAGTCACTAATACAGTTTGCAGTCTTATCTGAGCCCAAGGGTGAACTCTCCTCTCTCTGTCACTAGAGGATGGTCTATCTGAAGGGAGACCAAATAGATCCCAGGCATCAGAGGCTACCTGCACCATCAGTACTCCTCAAGTTGCATGGAGAAGGGAAGTTTTTCCACACAGTGTTAATCTTCTCTATAATGCTGGCATTTACTTCTTTATTCCTTTATCTAAATGAATCATGCTTTTGCAAAACTAGGTGGTTTTTTGTTTGGTTTGGTTTTGGTTTTGTTTTTTAAATGTGGTAGTATTCCTGACTAGATATATCACTGTGAGAGGAAACAGGATTTAGGTAGACAATTTCCAGATTCTTGGGCTGAACATATCTGCATTTGAAAATAAAGTAGAAAAAAAAAAAAGTAGAAAATATACATACGTTACTTTTATTGTAATCAGAGTTAGTACAATGACTCCTCAGCTCCATTTTCATTAAAACTGAAAATAGTGCTGACTTTTCCAGCTACACAAGTGCAATCAAACCATTTGCTCCTGAATGCATTAAAAAAACCTTGAAAATACAGATGCTTCCTTATCAGTCTCCATCCTATTAAAAATACTGAAAACAAAAATTGGAAGCCAGTAGAAATGCAATCGTATCTTCTACTTCAGAGTCAATGCTCCAAGAGCCTCCAGCTGTTAGTGTAGCTCAGTGCAACCACAGCTCCTCCATCCCAACCCGTAATAACGGCAATAAAACCCCTCCACTCACCACACAACACTTGGAAGGATGTAAAGAAAAGCCCTTGGTCCTTTTCCCAGTTTTATACAAATTGATTGCTACATTCTGTTAGGGGGATTTTGAAACCTGAGCCTCTGCCACCATAATTAAAGCAAGCAATAAAACGACTAAAATATACAAAGCAATCAGTTTATAGGACTAGATGTAGAGCAGTTACTAATTATTATAGAAAAAGAAGGCAGAGAAAAGATAGCACATGAAGAAGTCACATCCACTTACTAAAACACCACTCACAAACTACAGCTGGGACCATCAAATAAATTTTGCATGGTCTAATTAACTTGGTTTGCAATCTCAATTACTTTTCACCCAAGAAATCACTTTTGTTCAGTTTTATGTGTGTCTGTTTCCCTTTTTAAAAAAAAAATGATGTAAGGCATCCTCAGACAAGTGAACTCTAAACTTCATTTGTCTTTCAGCAGGCTTGATGGCTATGCATTTAAAAACCCATTCTATCTTATAAACTAAAAATTAAATGTACTCAGCTGTGATGGTCGTCATTGCATCTGCTATTTATATGCTAATACCCTCACTGGAAGATCTTGCAAATTATTCCACCATGCCAATATCTCATGTGCATCTACTCAAAGCCAACTAAATATTTTTCTAGAGGCAGGAGATTTTGGTTAGGGAACCAGAATATTTATCGCCTTAGAACCTAGTTAAAGGGGCAACCTTAAGCAAATACATTTTTCATTTGATCACAACACAAAATAGGCTTCAGTCATCTTAAATGAAATTTGCAAGCAAACAGTGACTGGGTAAAAATAATTTCTTCAGTGCCACTAACAGAAACTGAAGTCAAACAGTGTATTTTGCATGTAAGGATTTTTACAGTTTCCTCTTTTCCCATCCTTTGACATTATCCAGCACAGGATGATATGGAAGTAAATGCTGGCATTTTGACAGATTTCACAATCACACTTGAGTTTTCCTGTGTGCAACACAAGGAAAACAAACTACTAAAAGAGCTGTATTTATAAGGAACTCCCACAATGCTCTCCCTCCCCTTTGGCTCCATGATCTGAGCATAAATTCAAACCTAGGTGACTGCAAATTAGATATGTGGTCCAGACAAATCACATTTTATGTTCACCAGTAAAAGTATCACTATTCATTCTATTTGTAGTTGCTCAACAGCACATAGGTTACTTGGCCAGGCTGACTTCTATTTAGGAATGCACTTTTCACACTATTTCTTAACCTCCAGAAGTTAGTAAAAATGCTTGAAGAGTTCCAGCCCAACAGCTAGCCCCAGTGCAGTGCTGGAGGACCAGCACACCTTGTTCCAAATTGCTTTAGCAATATAAACTACCCAATGAACCAGTTCTTCTTTAAAGCAAAGTATACTAGCTAGCATCTGTGAGGACTGTTGCAGTCCTGCAGGTGCAAGCTTGAGGCTTACTCAAGACTTGCAACAGAAACTTGCTACAGGACTTGTGCCAAGGTCCCCTGCGTCCCACCTGGTGATAAACAGAGCTTGGATTTGTACATTGGAAAGTCAAGAGTCGTGAGGCACACTGCACAAAACCTGTATCACCTCGTGTTACCAGCTCTGGACCCTAGCAGGCTCAACGTCCCAGGTAAGCTTAGGTGGCATTTTAATAAAAAGCAGTAAAAATTTACTCAGAAACCAGTAAGTCTTAGGGCACAGTTAAAAAAAAACCTTAGATCTTAATGAACCACTCTTCAGAAGAAATCAGTATGTCAAATACACCAAATGGACTAGCATGTGCATTTACTGTTTCACAGAGGACAGCAAATAAAGCTAGTTTGGAAAACTGGTGCATTTAAGAAAACTACCTCAAAAGATATTGCAAGGCAGGTTTAGTACTACTTTAGCAGTAACCACTTAAGATGTATCCTCAGATATATTTTAATACCACACTACTTGGGCTCCTACCATCCTCCAAAATCAACATTGCTTGGCTGCACAAATACTCTAAAACCTCAAGAATGTACATTAAAAAGGCTAAGTTCTCTTGCATTATCCAGCTTTTCCATAAAATAAACACCACATTCAGGGTAGGTGTAATAGTTTTATTTAAACCACAAAAGATCTCCAGGTCTAACAATGCCTTTCTTTTCCGTGCACCCCAGAAAGCTCAAACAGAAGTCTGCTACCCTTCAGTATTAAAGCTAATAAAGTTCCCCAACGTAAAAAAAAACCACAAATGACTCCTACAATTTGTGCTGACCACCCACATTTGATACCTATATTTAATTTGTTTCATCTAAAGTGACTGTAGTGTCGGTCCCTTAAATGTCTTCATGTAATATTTATACAAAAATGAAGGTTATGTCTCACCATTAGAAGTACAGGGATGTACTTCTCCCATGCAGAAGTAGACACTTCAGGCACAACAACTAATTACACAGTAAGAAAGAATATTTTTTTAACAGTATTGTCTGGAATGTTTTTTTCATCCCATTTTTCATTCACACTGGGAGACGAGCTAATGACATATTACTCCATCAGTCTGAGTCCTCTGATTTAAGACTGACCTTCATAATGAGGTCTGCATTACCTGAGTTTATTCAGTTGCTGAAAGGGAGAGTCTCACTATCTGAGCTTAATGCTGCTACAGAAATCTTCTCTGGATTAGGCTGCAGTTAGCTCAGGTCCTTGCTGCAACAGGAGCTCTGTCACTGGCACAAGGGAAGGGCTGGAAACCACCACAGGAGCAAATAGGGACAGGATGATCCCTTTTGATTGCTGCTCATGTCTAGACCATCTTTAAGCCAACCACAACATCACTACCAAAATATTTAAGCTGCTCCCCTGTTCAGCTCTCAGGAGTACTCAAACACCAACCCGTACAAAAAAAACACCTGCTAAGAAGCAGATTTGGTAACCACACAACACACTAAGAAACACCTGATAGAATTCCATTTTTAATGTTTCAGGAAATGTAAAATGGATGAAATAATTCTAACAAAAGAAGAAGAGGCAAGCATGAAATAGTGTTGCACACATTTCCCAGTGCCTTCAAAACTAAACTTGGTTTCTTCTTTACCCATGGATAATAGTAAGGAAACTCTGTAAAGTGCCTGCTCAGTTTTTCATTCATCTAAACATAAAAAGAGGTTCAAAGGCTGAGGTGTGATGAAGCCAATGAAGCTACAAGCCAAGTGCTGTGAAAACATGTTTCGAGCCCATGCTCAGACAGGAATGTACCCAGAGCAGAGTCCCCAAGATGTTTTCCATTCCTAAAAGCAGTAGGAAAACTCATTTTTGTCAATCTTCAGGAAGAAAGCAGCTGTCATATAGCCACAGTTAAGGTTACAAGTGTTGCCCTGAACAGGCACTACATGTGAACTACTCCTCCTTTCTTCTTTCCAGACATTGTTCCCTGCACATTAGTCCAGATGAAATTGTTTAAAGCCATTGCTTAAGGCTGTAGGGAGGTCCAGAACCAGCTATGAGCTATGCAGAATCCATTTCTGCACCAAAAAGTTGTTTTATAGTCTGATAATTCAAAGGTCAACCAAAAATGCCTCTTTCTTTCCCTCTCCACAGTGAAGTCTTTAGGTTTACCAGAGCTTTTCAGCTAGTCCAAGTTATCTATCTGATGTGGAAGAGTATACCTATGACCCTTGGTCATATTTTAGGCAACATTTTGACTTAAAATTTTTATGATTCAGAGCCCTATACATGATAAAATCTAAATTTTAGAGTGGAGAGGGGAGGGAATTCTTATTACTAGTAATTTTCTTTTAGAAATTTTAGGAAACATGATTTTCATCTAAAAGGTGATATAACAAGATTCCCATTAGCACTCACTAAT